TTCATCTAAAAGTCATCAAAAACATATTTAATAGGCTTTCCAGTGCTCCAACATGCACCAACTCAGGATTAAAAGTTTGAAAGACAGGCTGAATAAGTAAGAGCATTTTTTAAAAGCATCCACCGTAGCTGCTTTCAACTGTTTACTATGCTTCCCCACGTGTTTCTGACATCAATCGCTACACACTGGAAAAAAGAGAGAAGAATACTTGTCTGCTGGCAATGGGAAAGAGTAAATCCCCTATTTTAAGCAGATGCTCACACATTTTCATAAGTCACAAATTGGTGCAAAGTAAAGCACATACCCTGTAGGACACATAATTACGGTGCCTTACATGTTTTATTCTACTGTGATGGCCAAGAAGTAATTCATATGTTCCTGTTTTTCCAGATCCTGACGGCCATTGTGAAGATCATGAAGGAGTGTTGGTACCAGAGCCCATCAGCCCGCCTCACTGCCCTGCGGGTGAGGAAGACTCTCTCCAAACTGGACACTGACAGTGACTTCAGCATTGAGAAACTCAAGCAGGACATCTAGTCCAGAAAGTCGGGAGTTAAAGGGGACAAACAATTGAGAACGCCTGAAGGGAAAATGCTCTACAATCCGACAGCACAAGGTGCATATCATTAGCATCATTTCAAGATAATAACTCACACAGTCACTGCATTACATTGAAACCATATGACTGTCAGCAGCAACGTCTAGACTGGCTCCCGAGGCTATTCTCTGTGGCCTAATTTCCATCTGCCATTTCCCTGGTGCCTTAAACCAAAAGGCCCCAACAAGAAAACTATTGGGACATGTTATATTACTTTTATCATATTCAGCTAAATAAATACTTTTTAAAAGCAGAATAATAAAAACCCACTAATTCCTAGAGTCTTATTCATAATTGTCTAAATCCCCCCTATGGGCATGACAGAGAGGGAAGTCTGGCATTGCACAATTACTTATCATTCTATCGAGAAGAGGAGGAGCATGTCATTATGGACTTTCTCTGAAATACATTCAAATTGAACAAAATGGTTTTTCCATATAATGACCAAAGCCAAAAAGACATGGAGGCCTTGTTTAAGTTAAATTAAAGAAATAAATGTAAGTAATAAAATACCAAAGCACATTACCTGTTGTGGTAGCATATTTAACTTATATAAAATAAGCATTTATTATCTGCACATGGGCACATTGAGCTATTTAGTTGTACATATTCAAACTGCATTCAAGCTGTTGCCTTCAATCTCCATTGGATTCTTTTATTAAAAAATGAGACACTTTTTATATACTTTCTTACAAAACATTTTCTAATTATTATTTTTTTATATTTCTATAAGCCAAAAATGTATCATCACCATTACTATGGTCAGTAAATGAATCCACAAACAGATATGTATTGTATTATGTTGAATAAAGGATTGTATTTTTCAACAGTTTGCTCTGTAGATATGATTTTTTTTTACCAATTAATGTTTGCAATTCTCTCTTTGACCAGTAGGGGTCATCAGAAATCAGAGAACCTAATGTTGCTTAGAAGAGCAGCTTCAACTGGAAAGTTAAAGGTGTCATTTTGGATTGTGATTTCTTAAAAAAAAGGGTTAAGTCAAATAAGTAATCACAACAACAAGTATATTTAACATATACTACTATCAGGGGAAAGTAGGAATTATTATTTTACACAACTTATACATCATCAAGTTTTAAAGCCCATTTGTCACCTGCTTGAATGTCATTGAGATAACATGTGAACATGTTTACATTTTCCCTCAGTCACACTTTCCTCACATAATGAGATGCTAAACTAGAAAATATAAATAAATTCATTTAAGACAAGCCTGACTGAATTCCTAAAAAAAACATGAACACATTGGTTAATTTATATTTGTTGTGCATTATTCCTGCTGGTATATGCTGTACACATTGATGAAACTAACACAACGTTCTATTTTATAATTATTCAAGGATAATGCAAACATTCAGGCCAAGTTTAATTTTAAACTGATTTATAAATCATAATTATTGTTTATGACATTTGTGTACTCCTCACATGAGTCAGAAATATGTTTAGTTTCGACAATTTTAAGATGAAGAATGCCACACTGTCAGAAAAAATACAATATTTATAAAATGGATCAAAATAGCCAAGAATCTTTCAAGTGGTTGGTAAAGTGTGTGTGTGTGTGTGTGTGTGTGTGTGTGTGTGTGTGTGTGTGTGTGTGTGTGTGTGTGTGTGTGTGTGTGTGCACGTGCGTGGGGGGGGGGGTGTGCGTGCATGTTTACTGCCTGCTTGGTTGTTGAACAAACTCCAGAGAGATAATACTCCCTCAAAGCCCCAGTCTGTCTGGTCAGTCCCATGAAGAGCTGGTTATTTTTAACACTGCAGGGGGGGTTGTTCAAGTATCAGAGAGGCCAAACGCCCTGTCTTTGAGGGCAGGAGCCCATCTCACTTCTCCCTCTGTGTATCCTTTTTCACAGTGGGATCATTCCAACTGGCTCTGTAGAGACAGAGGGATTTGTTGAGCAGACACTGTTCACTGAAGAAATGTGGAGATAAATTGGACAGGGCTGATAATGGACAGATGATTCGCCACAGAGGACACTATGCAGACACTATTAGGCTTGAGGATGGATCAGTGAAAGTGCTAGCAAGAGTACGGGTCATAAAGCAGGAACAGATAAAGTCCCACATGTATCTGATCCACCTCTTCCCTGGTTACAGCTCGGTGTTAGTGGGGCATGGACAGGTCGGGACTCTCAGCTGAGAGAAAACCCAGGTGGGGTCTGGACCAATGGAGCTTTACTGGTCTTTACTGATTGTTTCACAAGCTGTAACTTTCTCCAAATCGGATACAGCAGCTGATATGTGATCTGGGATCAACTAAAACTGTAAAGAAAAAATGTGGCAGGTCTTTTTTTATGCAAGCCAAATTGGTCTCAAAGATGCAGCTGATAGGACAGCTGATGGAAGTACAGATTAGACAGCTGCAGTGCCCTGAAGCTATAATCCCATAAGGGATTTGTTTGATAATTGATCAGTCACTGACTATGGATGGATAGACACATGTGTCACAGTTTGACTAGCTTAATACTGGTGCTGCAAGGACAAATGCAGAAAGTCCCTCACTTACATCCATGATAAGAGAAAAGGCTTTGTAGACAGTCACAGTTACAATGGATCAGTTTTTCGTTTGCTTAAGAGGAATATGTCAGGCTGGACTTGAAATGTCTACTTTGAATGGGAGTGGCAGTTCAGATTAGAGTCATGAGTTTGGTGACTGAGCCTGTGTTGCATATCAAAGAAACAACATGTTACTCATCTCATTGCTTCACTATTTTGACCATTGTTTTAAAAGTATCTTCAAAACTATTCTTTTTATGTCCTAATGTATGACATTTGATTATTTTGAATGTAAGTATTCAGCAATAATGTCAGTGAAAGTTGGGAAGCTTGACCAATTTTTTTTCTGAATACATTTTTGTTTTAAAATGTATGTTTTGACTTATCAGGATTGCATAAATCGAGCATAACAATGTTGACCCGAGCAGATGAATGTATTTTGACTACTTCATATTGTTGCAGTTTGTTTCAAGTCTTGAAATACAAATAAACCATTTAGGCAAAAATACAGAATTAATCCATAATGTTAATTTTGGCATGATCTGAAAAAACATTCTATATCATAAAAACAAAATCATGATGTGGAGAACAAGTCATCATTTACTTTTTTTAAAATAAAATGCTGACTGAATACCTATTTTTAAGTCAAAATAACAGAGATGTCATCGGCTAAGTGTCAGTTTGACCTTCTTTACCATTATCTTTATGATTTAAATCTATTTCTTAATTCCTAAAAATAACATGAATTTACATTTCATTAATAAAACCAATGAAGAGTCCCTAAATAAATGTGTTGCTTCAAACAGACCCACCACACCACATAAGTCAAGAAGGCCAAACCAATCCAGCCTGATTCCCAATTTCCTTATAATTTCATAGATCTGTTTTAATGATTAAACCCATTTCAAATGTCAGAGGCATTTCATGATTCAACATAACCTTCCACTTGTTTTGTTTTATTTTGGGTTTTTTTATCGAATAGTTTCAGAACTTTCCTAAGGAGTTTCAATCCAAACTAGTTTATATAGATCCTTTCAAAAATGTGAGATATACCTGACAGATTTTAAAAACAGACAAGTTTCTGTTAATTTATGATAACATTTTTTAGTAATAACATGGAGTTAGGCTCTCATATTTTTATAGTTCAAATTGATCTTTCTCCACATCCCACATTACGACCCCAACCAATATTAAAGGTTGAATGTATTCATCCATAAAGTCTTTGAAAACACATTGCTCCCATCAAAATGAATACTGATTACAGAAGATAAAAAAAATGTGTATCTAGCAATCAAAACTAAATAAAAATGCATATTCAGGAATATGTTATAGAAGGCTGCATCAGCACTGAAGTGTTTAATCTGATTTAAATCTGTAGGCTAGACATTACTTTGTTGCAACAATTACTTTCATGATCATTAACATGCTATTTATTATCTAGTTTAGCGTAATCTTTTCGTCTATAAAATGTCAGAAAAAAGAAAAATGTCCATCCCATTTCCTTAAAGTCCAAGGTAATATCTTTCATTGTTTTGTTTTGTCAGTCCAAATCCAAAGATACTCAGTCAAATTTGACATAAAAAAAGAGGCTAGAAACAGCATTTCGGCCATTTTCATGCAATGGGCCAGTGAATTAGTCGAAAATCACATTAGATACATTGAGACAGCATAATGTTAAGATGTGTTCATTTTTCACTCAAACGGTGCCTATACTTTCCTCGTGCACAATCTTTTGATGATGTTAGACTGGAATTTTGAAATCCATTCAACATTTTGTATTTACAACACACAGCCATGACCTCAGCGGTGGCAGAAGGGGACATGCAGCGGGCAGCCCTCCCCTTTAAACATGCGCGCACACCCCTTTAAACGCGTCACTCCCCGGGCTGGCTGGCTAGTGTTTGGCGGTGTGTCTGTGGCTGTGTTTCAGCTCTGCTCGTGTTGATAACGACACTCTTCGGACGCATTTCATCGCGCAGAGATGGGAATGTTGAAGAAATGGCTCTAAGAGAAGTTGCCCTAACGCTGCTGGCCCTGTGCGGGTTAGTGGCCGTCGGTGAAGGTAAGTTTGATCTGAGCACCTCTCCGGCTTTTGTCTCGATTTGTTTTCCCGGACTGGGCATCGCCTGGTGTCGCTCCTCGTCCATGGCGCGTTGTGTCGGGGATCTGGCTAACCGTATCAAGCTAGCGTTGACCTCAATACCACGGTTGCTGTTTGCCCGATACAAAAGTCCCGCTGGTTTGTTCGTTTTGTCCGATTTAGATTTTTATCAACTGAGAACAAATCCGCCTTGTGAATGGTCGTTATTGAACACATAGCAAGTAACCACAACAACAACAACATGGTGGTGGTGTTTGTTTCAAGGCTAAAGCAGGCTAGCTAACTGGATAATGAACAGTTTAAAGTTTAATAATGTTGTTAATTGTTTTTCCTTAGTCAACAAAACATTGTAATACAACAATTGTATGAACGCAGTCTACTTTTGTGTAGTGTATTATATCTAGTCTACTGTCGAAGTTATCTGTTGCTGGGCTAACATATTTACAAAACAATCTCCTGTTGGATTGTGACCGCTTATCAGTGTTTTGCAATGGGACAACACTCAGTGCTGATAGCGGACTGTTTAAACACATGCAATGTGCTCAGTGGCAGTGTCGTCACATGTTCGCACTGGATGGAGCAGAATGGAGTCGCTGAATGAAGGCCTAACCTACTTTGTGCATGAAATGTGTTATTGAGAGTAAACACTGGCAGCCCTTCTATTGGGGTCCATTTGTAAGGAGTGAAAAGGCTGCTTAGTGGCCTCCAGCAGAAAGTGAATGCTGGCATAGGGTGACAACAGCCGTGCTTTCAGATACCCAGACAGAAGTCAGAGTTGAAGTCTGGGTTCATTGTGATGGAAATGTGGCAAGTGGGGTCTTTTGATGCGCCAGTTATGGGGCTGCTTCAGTCTGAATACCCCGCCTGCTCCTGCAGCTGAGACACAGCTCAACCACACAGCCTCAAACAGTTTAATCATGTTTCCAAGAATCATAAATATTTCTCCCCCGCTTAGTTAAGGGTGCAGTACACAAAGGTGGATTGCTTCATTTAAAGGCATGCTGTAAATATTGTCACACCTGAGTGGTCAGTTTGTTTGGCTGGGTTACTCCAATAGTATCAGTGATGTGTGAAGGGAAAGTGGGGGTGAATGTGTGGCCATTGCAGACAGGCGATGACGGGTTTGTCCAGCTGGCGAGGTCTGCCGTTTAGGGGGCCCACACGTCTGTCTGGAGCCACAGTTTCACACCATTATAATGGATTACACCACACATGGGCTGAAACCAGACAGACCTGAAAGTAGCTGCGCTAAAGCAGATTCCAGGCCTGTGGTTAGTGTAGTATGTTTCTGTGATAATACTCTTTACTCACAGGTTTGATGGATGTGTCACCTGTTGTTGACTTCATGTGTATTCAGGAGTCACTAGTGTTATCCGCATTTCATGCCTGTGTGACGCAGTCTTCCTGGGAGCACTGAGCAAAATAGCAATGTGATATGGGCACTGTCGACCACAATGCCGTGAGGTAGGGCGCGTCCCTCTCTTTCTCATTTACCCACGCCCTCTTTATTCTCCATCTCTGTCATATAAGTAGGCCTGGTGCTTTATCAGACGGTAGTCTGTACTTTATCTGCGGTCCCATTTCTGTTTTACCTACTGACGTCCACCATTGAGTCCGGAATCGAGCTTTATCATGGGTTATGGTTACCCCCCAGGGTAAAGGAAGGCCGCTGGTTATCTCTTGAACACTCACTTTTAGTAGCCCAGCCCTTCTACAAGCTATCTAGAGACTCCTGTACATCTCTGTATTGCTTCTGTGTAAAATCCAAGATAAGGCAACAGCAGACAATGAAAACCTCTCAACTTGTTTAGGGAACTGTCTGTGCGGGGCTAAACTCAGCCACAGGTGCTGTTTAATGTCATCATGTGAATGAGTTCAGGTGGAGGAAACATGAGCGTTTCAGCCTGGAACATGTGTACACCTGCCCAATAGATCGGAGCCAAGGGAATGTACGAACTAAATGGGTTCAAAGGTGTGTTTCAGTAAAGAGCAGAGAGTTTGGCCAGAGGAGGGGTGTTGGTAATGTTTCCAGACTCAAACTTGAAAATGAGAAAGTTATATATTTTTATCTTAAAATATGTTGCGATTGTCGGGACCTGTTCTAGACAGACAGATGTTTCGGCTGCAGAACCCCTGCAGCAAATTATGATTGCATAAAGCTTTAAATATATTGAAACGGTAAGGTTATTCCCTGGGCTGGAATCCTCCTCTCTTTCAAAACAAATATAAAATACACCTGTGTTTACCAAGACTTTCTATAATGTGGCATTGATTCAGATGGGGTCAAGTTAGGCCTGGGGGGGGGATATAGTTTCCCCCCCCCCCATAATGACCAGTGTTGGTAATGACCTCCGATGGCCCGGACGCGCGGGGCCCTAATTGCTACAGCAGACAGCGTAGCCTCTGACTGACCCAGCGTGGCCATTACTGATGTTGGACCACAAGCGATTATTAGCACTGCAGAGCCAGCTATTCCACCTTCTGCTGACCACTTCACATGCTGTTAATTTACCCAGAACACTTTGTCCTTTTTTGTTGTGTATGTTTCGGGTTAAATGTACATCTGCTTGTTGTGCCAAACTTGAAAGTGTACTTGGAGTGTTGTTATTGTCACAGTACACCCAGACAGACCCGGTAGCTATGTGAGTTCATGTCTAAAGGGCTGAACCTGATACCAGTCCTCCATTACACGTCTCTTTGAAGAAGTGTTAAATAAGTTTTTGTTGGCTTCAGTTGGAATGCAGATTAGACCTAACCTGCCTCGTTGTTTTCTGCTTGAAGGTGTGCGATCCGGAGAATGGTAGTTGGCAAGAAATCTTTTGATGGGGGATATAGTGTTAGTGTTAGTGTGTATTGTCTAACTAGTGCTTGAAGTGAACGCAATGCAATGATGACAATGCAAATAAAACAATTCAATACAAAAGGGCACTTTTACTACATGAACTTAGCATTAGGTCTGGAACATTTGGTGAGGATAACAAGAGAAGCTGTTTTGGTGTCAGAACATTATTTGATTATGCGTTCTGTGCAAAATAACCTTATAATCATTATTTTTTTTCCATACATCCCATTTGTTTTTTGTTTTTAGTCTTTGCGAACTAGTTTTTTTTTTTATTCTATTTTTCTTTTGTTCAATGAAAGTATGCATAACCAAAGATAAGTGTCATGAAATAGGATTTTATTATAAGATCCCACACTCTAGCTAGAGTTGAGCTTTTTCAATAAAACGGTTAGTAAGTAAGACAGATAAAGGAGTACTTTTTAAATCTCCGGTCTGCTAATACTCAGAAAGGGGTTTAATCTCAAGTCACATGGCAAATGCATTAGCTCACAGTGCTGTAATATACTGTTGCATTATAGAGGCAAAATGGACCAGTTTGGACATTTGAGCTGCAGCATAAAATCCAAAGTAAGCCTGTGCTAATGTTTTTGTGCCTTTGAACTCATCCAGGACAGCAGACAGACAGGATGGGATGTAGCCTAGAGGGTGGTTGGTAGAGATAGTAGAAGCATCATCTGCCCCAGAGACTTCACTTTAGAATCAGATCAGTAATTTGACCCCGAGATGCAGACAAAGGTAATGACTTTCCTCCATCCCCTAGCATTGATTAGGACACAGTTGCGGTGTGTGCGTGTGTATGTGCACCCTTGTGTGTGTGTTTGCACTCACACTGTCTGGTGGCGTCTGCTTGTCTTGATCAGCTCTCAGTCTGGTATCTGTATGGATCTAATTTCAGCCAGGGCATTTTGGTAATGGTGCTCTGCACACACGCAAGTACCCGACTGTCTCTGTCTGCGTCGCTCAGCTCCCAGAAACCCACTGTGTTTGTGCACCCCGGATGCCCTGCGGCGACCACGTGTATTTTCCACAGACTTTATTATTATCTCACCATACTAGGAAGTTCACTTCCTGTTTTGACTGGGTTGCCGCATGAGTAGAGTGAACTCCTCCTCATACGAGCAAACACACAAAAGGCGGTCATCAAGGTTAATGTGTAAAGGTGTTTGGAGTGGGACTATGCTGTGGTTTTTAGTTGGGTCCAAGTTAAGGCGATGCTGGTTATAGCAACAATGTTTTATTAATCCCTTCCTCACTGTGTCAGCCCTTTCCTGTCTCAACATGAACGGAATGATAGGAACTTCACACACTAACAGCTCAAAGGAGTTGCTCTTTGCGAAAGCAGTGTTCTCCCCATTTTCTCTAATGTTCCCTTTTCCTGTTATTCACCCCCTCCCGTAAGTCAAAGTCTAGACTGGGTTTTAATGACGGTCGCAGCTGGTCACTTGGGCAAACCCCAACCGCAGCTGGGGGGCCCTGTAAGCCCGCTCGTTTCCCCCGCTGCCCCCTCCCTCCGTATTGTCCTGACCAACGTTGGGCCCGCCCCCATCCTGTCTGACCCAGAGCAGCCCCCTAACATTGGGGTTGTTGCTGCTAACCCTTGTCTGTCCCCTTTGTGCCACCCATCCCCCCTCGCTGCTCCACGCAGGAGTGCGCTCCCCCACTCCACTCTGCTCTTTGTTCGTGCGGGGCCAGTCCAATCCCTCCTCATGTCGTCTTAATCTCAGCACAAAGGACCAGTGTAAAGACCACCAATTATGTGGATACAAGAGCAGAGTTCACTCAGAAACGGCCTCTACTCAGATCCATGTGTGTTTAGGCTGGATAATATTCATTCAAGTCTAGCTTTGTAACACTTCTGCTCTGAATACAGTGAGATATGCAGAGCGTTGTGCAAACATCACAGCGTTTTGCTGAAGGCTAGTGGGCCAGGAGGTCTTTCTTAGATATGGGTTGAGTTTGTTTTGTACTAGTACCCTGTTTTGCATGATGTTCTTTTTGGATTTTTGTTAACAGCCATTATTTTTTAAAAAGGCAAACAGATTATATGGTAATATATATTCTGTGCTGTCACTGTTTTCCTATAGAGGTTTTCCTTTCCTTTCGTATGTCCGGTTGTATTGGGTCATAATAATAAGAGGCAAATCCATGAGCAGGACTCTCATTGACTTTTTGCTTCAATGTGATGAATGTCCCCAATTATTTATTAGGGAACACTAACATTATGTTTTTCCCTAAAGAATGTTTTATCTTTATTAATAAAACAGCCGATTCTGTCATAGATTTCCTCCATATTGGCCACCTATACTGCTTGTTTGTGTGGAAGCAGGCTACATATGTTATTTTCACAAGCTAGCCTTCACGAAAGGCAAAGTCCTGCCACAAACCAAACTCTTGGTAGACCACAAACCATCCACTGCAGATCGGAGAAGGGAATGTGTGTTTTCAGCCATGTTTGGTTTCCTTCCTGAGCTTCAGTCTGTAAGTCTGTGTACCATCTGTCTTACCACACACTGAGTCTCCATGATGGATGAGCCTGTTCATTTAAAATCATGTGTTCTTATTAGATTGCTGTTGTTAAGGTTATTGCATATTTGCGCAATGTGTAAGTCATAAGAAGTAGTTTATAGCCTTCAGTTTAAGTCTAATGAGAAACATGAAGGACATCAAATCCAGCTTGCATTCGTGTGGATGTAATGCGGTGTAGTCTGGAGAACATAATCACAAAAATGCCCTTTGAAGAACCATTTGTTTTCTTTTTTATGATGATGTCTCCTTTCTGGACTTGCTGAATGATTTATTTCCCTTAAAACCAGCTGATGTCATGCCTAAAAGAGAGAAGCCTAATGGAAAAATGCGAAACTTATCTGAATTGAATGATGGATATTCAGCGCCAGCCAGCATTCTAACCTATATCCGTTACTCTTGTCATGTGTTTTATTTTGGCTAAACTATTTGATCTATTACTGCTGCAGATTAGTGTGATGTGTCACACAGCTTGTTTATACTCTCTTTATAAGTTCCAGCCTGCTTTACCTCTGTGTAATCTGCAGGAAATTCCATGTACACGCACACTGTGGTGAATTTGGACATTCTCCGCCAAGACTTCCTGCAATTTTCCCGATAACCTCCTGGAGAGCAAGACACGCGCAAACCCAAACAGATGAGAAATATACTTTTTCCACATTTCCAGTTACTGCACAGTGGACAAGCATAGCTCACACGCTACATGCAAAGAATGCATTCAAACCAAAAGCAACCTCCCAGGGTTCAGATAAATGGAAAGTATTCCCATGACACAGGGGTTTGTGGTTTTGGCCACTGGGACGTTGCATGCAGATGGCGAAGTCAGTGAACCATTCATTTGGAGTATTTAAAAAAAAAAAAAAAAAGACTGAACAGAAGAGTAATTGTGTGACGACTCAGTTGAATTCAGCACATTCTTGAAACAACTAACACCTTTTGACAGGGACCCAAGTTGTTGCAAACAGCGGAGATCAGTGAGCTCATCTGGTCAAAGAAACCCTCAGGATAAGACACCGAGGATTAGTGGAAGCTTGCCACTCTTAAAATCTGTTCTTTCTTCTGATCCAGACATTGTCCGTGGTCCAACCGCCTCCTTTATGAAGGAGAATACAGATTTAAATTCTTCTCTGCATTGTGTCTCCTCCTGTGTTGTTTTGGGTGCAATCGTCTTGTCCTGCCACGTCTACAGTGTTTAGTTTTGAGTATAGTGTCGTCTTTGTTTTTCGAACGATGGACCAGGTCATGGCTTGTCATGCCTCATGCACAGCTCTGTTGTCAGTCAGACAGTTTGTCATCTACCACTGACAGGGGTTCAATCAAGCTTAGCTGCTTCCCTGTCTTTTCCCCACATTGAAACTAGTCCCGCGTTCATCTACGGTAGCCTGAACATGTTTTGCAGTGTGTTTGGTTGCAGAAAACCTTGGGAAAAGCCTCTTGCGCTGACCTTACTTGAAATGAGAAGCATGTGTGCTATGACTCAAAATCACATTAAACTCCAAATCTAATCAGTTGGTCATTTCTTGCTTTCTAGATTTCCCAACCAACTCTGGTTCTGTTTCTTGACGTGGCAGCTTTTTTTTGTGGACTTTCTAGCACTGACCTTATTTAAATGTGTAGATGGAGCACAGAAGTTTTATTATGGCGGTGGCAGGAGTTCCATTGTGTCTGCTTTTAATAGGTCCCCGAGCAGGAGTGTGCTGTGTTCAATAAAACTTCTGTCTCATTAGCTTAAACAGTGGCAGCTCTCTGTGTGAGAGACAGAGAAGCGTAATGGAGCAGAATGCTGCATTGGGGATTTGGCCGGATCTCTCTCCCCTTGTTGGGTTTCACTTTGTCTGTCCCACTGAGCCGGTCCGTCTCCACCCTGCGTTTTTGGGTTCATCTGCATTGAAGGATCTGATTTCAGGGCCGCCTGGCTGCTTCCCAACTCCGAGCTCTGTCTGCATCTCACAAAATGCCTCTACTGAATCCTGTGATGAATGTCTGGGGTTAGCTCGCCCCCTGCTGGATGTAATATGGGCGTTTTAAATAGGTGCTTTCAAAACCTCATTGTGTCAATTGATATTAACTCTCACTTTCCTTTCCCGCAGCGTTACGTTGTAACTGCACAAACTGTGAAAAGACCGCTTTTGAATGCGAAACAGATGGCGCCTGCATGGCCTCCACATACTACATCGAGGAGAAGAAGCAACATGTACGCATCTGTATCAACCGGGACAATCTGGTCCCCCCAGGACAACCTTTCTACTGTCTGAGCGCTGAAGGCCTGCTCAACACGCATTGCTGCTATTCAGATTACTGCAACAGTATTGAAGTCCCTGGTAAGGCTACATCATCAACATCAGATCACTATCAGTTTGACAGTGGCACTGTTTCAATTGAGTGTAACCTCTTTGATTTTGCTCTCCTAGTCCCAACAAAGGAGGGGGACTGGTCCACCTCAGCCTCCTGGGGGCCGGTGGAGCTGGTGGCAGTCATTGCGGGGCCGGTGTTCCTTCTCTGTGTGCTGCTGATGGTCGGAGTGTTCCTGTTCCAGCATCACCAGAGGGCCTATAGCCACAGGCAGAGGCTAGAGGTAGAGGACCCGTCCTGTGATCATCTGTACATGGCCAAGGACAAGACCCTGCAGGACCTCATCTACGACATGTCCACTTCTGGATCAGGCTCTGGTCAGTACATGCTGTTTATATGTTCACAGCCTATGTGTCTTCTACACAATAAGAGTAGCAGACAAGTCTTTCATTATTGAATCTGTGAATGTAATTGCAACACTTAGGGAAATTATCCTGAACTACAAACTGCTGAACCACTCGTCACAACCTGTCGTAAAACAACATTCTGTCTGACTAATTTGTTCTCTTTTCTTCTGCTTACAGGTTTGCCCCTGTTCGTGCAGAGGACGGTGGCTAGGACCATCGTACTGCAGGAGATCATAGGAAAGGGTCGGTTTGGTGAGGTGTGGAGGGGGAAGTGGAGGGGAGGAGATGTGGCGGTGAAGATCTTCTCCTCCAGAGAGGAGCGCTCGTGGTTCAGAGAGGCTGAGATCTACCAGACAATCATGCTGCGCCACGAGAACATCCTGGGATTCATTGCAGCAGACAATAAAGGTGAGAAACTTTGTGGGCTGTGTAAAACTTGGAGCAATTCCTAGACCACCCACAAGAAAGTAACAGAAGGAACAAGTCAAAAACTAAAGGAAGTACAGACAGTTACACCAAATGTCATCTTTTGAAGTTAGAGGAAAACATTATATTATAACCAAGCGTGTCAAAGAGTGTTGGCGCCCCATTCGCAAAGACAATGGGATCACTTTCCGTTTTCCTCCCAAGACCAGCAACTACCAACAACAACAACGGACATGATGCATTTTGTTTTTCAATGTAACTTCTACTCCTGTGGAAAGTACCTGAAAATAACTTCCTTTTAATACTCTTTCTTACTGAGCATGGCTTCTGTTAGCTACTGGGGCAAACAAGGACACTATCGGCCTCCTGTCTTGCTTGGTTAAAGAAAAACACCTGGCTATTGGCTACATTCATTATTCAATTGAATTGTAGTGTATATACTTCCTGTTATTTGTTCTCTAATTGTTATTTGCTCTCTTTCAGACAATGGTACATGGACACAGCTGTGGCTAGTGTCAGACTATCATGAGCACGGCTCTCTCTTCGACTACCTGAACCGCTACTCTGTCACCATCGAGGGGATGATCAAACTGGCCCTGTCGGCAGCCAGCGGACTGGCTCATCTACACATGGAAATCCTCGGCACCCAGGGTGAGATGAACTGTCATGTTACGGCGCGGAATGCCATTAATAAACCAAATGAACACTGCAGGGCAGGTGCATGAATTCATATGCACAATACAGTGGTTATTTACAGTCAGCAAGCATGTTGCTATTTCTGCTTTTGATGTAAATGTAATGATGTGTTCTCTCCTGCAGGTAAGCCTGGCATTGCTCACCGTGACCTCAAGTCTAAAAATATCCTGGTTAAGAAGAATGGCATGTGTGCCATAGCTGACCTCGGCCTGGCAGTCCGCCACGAGTCCATCACAGACACAATCGATATAGCTCCGAACCAGCGCGTGGGCACAAAGAGGTAAATGTTTCCATACTCATTCACTTAAAAGCAAACGGAGGCATACATAGGGGATTTGTTAAGGCCAAGTCTGGCTACAGGAAGTTTTCTTAAATCTTTTACAAATCCAACAAAAGGATTAAAAGCAGCAGTAAAGTATACGGCTTGTTGCTCTGTGCCCCTGACTTTCACTGTGTCCAAAAACTATTCAAGTATAAATCCCACATTCAACACTGTAATGTTGCTGTTACTTCTTAGTAGAATCCACTAATGCTGAGCTGAAAATAGCCCCCCGTTTTTTGTAAAGGGCTTTACCTTACAAAATAAAACGATTTATTTTTGAGCACATTCTTCCGTCTTTTGGAGGACCCAATGGCATTGGGTCTGAGTGCAACAAACAGGAGGGAATAGTCACAGTGTCGACTGACACTTTGTTACTGTCTCTCATGTTGAATTGAACAATAAAGAATGTGTCCAGCATTATCCTTTTGTAAATCCATAGAAGTTTTTGAAAATGTAATTATTCTTAAATGAGAAAATGGCTTTAAAAAGTTAAGATTTTATGTCACTAAATAAGATAGTTGAAAATGTTTAACGTGTTGTATGAAAATGCTAATTATTGCTCTTACTCATTGCTGCCTCTAGGTATATGGCTCCAGAAGTCCTGGACGAAACCATCAACATGAAACACTTTGACTCCTTCAAGTGTGCTGACATTTATGCGCTAGGCCTGGTGTACTGGGAGGTTGCGCGTCGCTGCAATGCAGGAGGTAAGACCACCACCAACAGCTGATGACACACAGCAGGCATTGCAGATATC